TACTTTGCTGAAGATCCATCAGGAAAGCAAGTGAGGCTCTAGGACCCCGAGCGGGCAAGGCTGCCAGTAGTAAACAGGAGGTGACGGGGCATGGGGTGCTTGGAGTTGGACACGGGTACCACACTGCGATGGTGGACTGAGGGCAGGCAGGGCCTTTATCACTGAAATGGGGGTGAGGGTAGGTGAGGATGGTGGTGACCGAGGCCATGTGTGTGAGGTGCACAAGGATCCTGAGCCTCAGAGTCCCTGTGAGGTTTTGAAAATTAGTGACACTGATTCCTGTCGTTCACTGTTGCCTGGTGCTCACAGTAGCAGCCCCCGGGTTAAGCCCTCCTTGGTGTAGTGTCTACACTCTCTGTCTGGTGGGAGGGAGCCTTTGAGGCTGCATCTGGGCACTGTGTTCTTAGAGCCCAGCCCTGTGTGTCCCTCAGACTTTGGAAGCAACATGGGAGCAGTGGTGGGAGGGCACCCTCTGCGCGGTGATGCCACAGCACCTAGATGTCCCCAGGAAGACCGGGGTTACCAGCCTGGCCTGAGCCTCACATCCCATACAGGATCTAATTTATCAGGGGTCAAGATTTAAGTGTAAAGTATAAGACTGTGAAACTTTAACATAAAAACACGGGAGAAGCTTTTGGGGACTTCGGTTTAGGCAAAGAATCTTAGATTTGACCCTGCAAGGATAATCGGGGCCACGAGCCCGTCGCACTTGATGGTAGTTCCCAGCTTCTGCTTTGGGAGAGCCCTGTGAAGACGATGAAGTACAGACTGGGGGACAGTGTTTGCTCAGCACACGTCCAACAAGGATGACCATCCAGAATAACGAAAACTCTACAGCAAAGTATGAGTGGTCCAGCTAGAGAGTGGGCAAAGCACAGGAGAGCAGTCTCACCATGGGTGTGTGATGGGAGATGCAGGAGGGAGGTGGCTGCGTGTCCTCAGCCGGCAGGGCACCAGTTAAAGCCACACTGAGATTGGGCTGCAGTCTGGTGGGATGGCCAGAGTAGACAACGGCGCTCGTGCTGGCAAGGTGTGGGAAGCTGGACACTGCATCTGTTTGGATGGGACGGAAAGTAGCACACCTGTCTCGGACAGTGGTGGAGGGTGTCTTACCAAGCCAAGTGGCCCGGTGGTTGTCTTGGGCATTAGTCTCAGAGAATTGAAAATCTACGTTGTCCTGAGGCCTGCACACTAATGTTAATGGCAGCTCTGTCTGCAGCAGCCGGGACTGTGACTGCCTGTTACAGACAAGTGGTAAATGAGCCAGCACTCCTGCCACAGAGCCTGCTCAGTGGCAGGCAGGAGCGAGCTGTGAGGGGCCACCTCTTGGGTGGATCTCAGGGGCTCTGCTGAGTGCAAAGCTCAAGTGCTGTGACTGCACAGGTGGGATGTCTGGGGATGTTGCAGCCAGGGAGGGTGGGTAGGTGGCTAAGAGGGCAGGTCCAGGGCTTCTGGGGGCAGACCAGGTCTGTATTCAGGGCAGTGGGTTCAGGGAGCCTTGTGCCCACACACATGCCTGCCGGTACAGACATACGCACTGATGCTGGTGAGCTCTGCCAGGCCGTGTCCACGGTCTTGCACGTGCTGTGCCCACAGGCTCCGAGGGATGTCACCGTGGGGGGAGTGTGGTGATTCGTTCCTGGGACTTTGTGCACTAGTTTTATAAGTTCCTGTGAATCGATGATTATTTTAAAACATAGGCATCAGAGTTCAACCAGAGAAGCAGAGCCAGTTGGAGGGCCTGTGTGTGTGAGAGAGAGAGAGAGAGCACCTGCAGGGGTGTCCCAGGGGACTGGCTCCCATGCTCGTAGGGCCACTGAGCACAAGCGAAGTGTGTGAGGCAATGGTTGGGAAGGGGGGTGGCAGCAGACAGGCTGGGCCCTGGCCAGCAGGCACTGTGTGGAGGCCCCCAGGCTGTGGAGAGCAGGGGCCTTATAAAGGGCTTGCTGAGAAGGCCAGATCACTGAGGGCACCTCCCTTTTGATGAATGTAAAGTGGATTATTAGGATCACCCGGCTGAGTGATCTGGTGTCTGAGGTAACTCAGTCCAGGCCATGCACACCTCATGACACCATCCCACAGAGCGGGATGAGTGGCCGGGAATGGCACACTCGTGACACAGACAGAAAGTGCCAGCATGTTCAGAAAGTTCAAATAATGTGGGGAAGGGAAAGCTGCTCCGTGACTTCCCATCCCCGTCTCTTGGAAACCTTTCCAGACGCGCTCCCATGCACCTGCACCTGTCTGCGTTGGTCTGTCCCGCGCCACATAATACTGCACTTTGCTCTCACTGCCCTTAGATCACTGCGTCATTCTTAATGTGAAAGAGATGTTCCACAGTTTTTGAGAAACTAAATATTCTTTTGTACAATGTGAGGTTGAAATGAATTGCATTAGCTGCAAGGGTGTTATTTCTGGCACACTGTAATACTGATATTTAAAAACAACATGGATTTATTCTCTTAAATGTTACCCTTGTAATATAAACACCACTGTCCATTTTAAACATCTCACAAGTCAGCTTTTGGCAGTCACATTTTACCTCGTTCCTTTTGCGTTCTGAGCTTTCATTTCACGTAACTTTATCCTGTTGTCTAGGCTGTCATGCTCTCTGCAGCAGAAATAGGGATGTAAGTTGAGAGCTGAAAACCTTTATGTCCTGTGACCATAAGGGCCTAGGGTTGAAAAAATTAATAGTACACAGCTGAAGAAAGCAACATAAATGTATTACCCTCTTATAACTAATTCTGAGTAATGAAACATTGTTAATATAATTTTTTTTCTTTTTTTTTTGAGACAGGGTCTCGCTCCCTGTCTCCCAGGCTGGCGCCAGGTGGTGTGATCACATCTTACGGCAGCCTCGGACCCTGGGCTCAGCCCCCAGAGTAGCTAAGACTATAGGTGTGTGTCATTGCACCTGCTGTGGGTCTCACTTTGTTGCCAGGCTGAGTTTGAGCCGTCCTCCTGCCTCGGCTTCTCCAAGTGTGATCCACTGTCCCTGGCTGTGAATATGTTTTTGAGGAGATGAGACTTTTGTTTTACTCAATTTGTGAGTCTATAGTTGGTTGTGATTGGTTCCTTATGAGGCAGGATTCAGCATGGGTCTTACTTCTGGTTTGGGTTATTAGAGTTCTAAACCCTGGGAGACTTTGTTCCATCAGTAACATGAGAGAGGAAGGAGCCCTCCAGCTCCTTGAGTTATGTGCCAAAAATTGTAATGGTCTGTCATCAGAAATTATTTCTGATGATCTGTGAGCTAAAAATTCAACTAGATCATTCTATGAGTTCCGTTGAAAGCAAAGAACCATAAACCCACCCGTTTACCAAGGGTTGCCCGGTCAGTCAGCCGTGGTAGGCCAGTGTTCCCAGACCCTTCATTTGCTCTTGGGTCCTGGTCTTGTTCTGAGTGGACAGTGAACCTCAGGGTAATTTTTTTTGCCTTTAAGTGGGAAAAAGGCTTTGTGAAGAGGAGCAAACACATCAAGGTGCTCTCTGGGGGAAGACCACTTTCAGGAAGCAGTTCCTTCTGGACACAGTGGCTGAGAGAGATGCAGAAGCCCTCTGGGGTGCTCCTGGGGGTGTGTTATTTCATCCGGAAGCTGGTGCCTCAGAACTTGGTGCCTTCATCTTAATAGAAATTTTCAAGAAACAAAAGCTAATTAGTCAAACGGCCTCTCTAGATGGTGGCATGAATGAATTTTACTATGTTATAATTTCTTTTTAGATCTTTAATTTGCTAATGGCCATTGTGAACAACAGGTGTCCTTACTTAGTCTCTGATAGAGACAGAGAGAGGGTTGTGGGTGTGGGAGCCTGAGGACACTAGCCTTCTGTGGAATAGCCTCAGGAAATATAGATCATTCTGATTTCCTCTTTTGCATATGTGAGAAGCTTAAGAGTGTCACAGCCCTTAAGTGGCTGCAGTAACCACAGAAAGTCTCCTGGGTGCCAGGGGGTAATTTGTCAGAGCTGGGTGGCTCCTTTGGGTGTCACCAAAGACAAGTAGGACGCCTGGGGAAACGGTTTCTCTGGGGCGAGGTGCGGCTGGCCGGGCCTCACTGTAGAGATCCACGCTCTGTGTCTGACAGGCAATTACAGGTATGTGGCCTGCACACCAGGCTGGGTCTTCCTGTGTGGGAATCACAGAAGGCAGCCTTCTCTGAACTGGGCTTTGCAGCATGGAATCCAGTGGTGGTTTACTTCCAGACCCTCGTCTTGTAGCTCAAGGGCAATTCTTCCTGACCTGGCCTTTCACAGCAAGGTCTGTGGTACAGACTTTTGCTGTCACAAAGTGCTGCTAAGGCTTAAAAACTAACGATTGAGAAATACAGATGAGTAAACGCCTCCAGTGGCGCTGTCAGCTGTCCCTCTTGGCGCACACCAGCGCATCCCCGCATGCTAGGTACGGCCTCTCCCCGTTGGCGCACACCAGTGTGTCCCCAGGTGCTGCCAGCTCTGGCTTCTTCTTTTGTAGAGTCGTTTTTCTTCCAAGCCAAACTCCAGGGCCGTCTGGGTGTGGTTGAGCCACTTTTCTGTGGACCTGGGTCACGTTTCCCCTTTCCTTCCAGATGTCAATGTTCTGGAATGATGTCAGTGTGTGGTTAGGAGAGTTTACGTCTTCCACGGGGGAGGCAGTGGGGTGCAGTGAGCAAAAGCAGCAAGCTGGCCTCCAGTAGATGGGCGGCCTCCAAGGCCACCTGGCCGTGCAGGTGATGACACGTGGTATTTCTACCTGTTCTCTGTCATGTGTTTAAATTGCCTGAGGTTGGCTGTCCTGTGTCATCCAGCGGTGAAGCCCAGAACACCAACAGTATGAAAGTCAAATGGTTAAGGCCCCATTCCCCATGTGTCCTTACCAGCACAGAGTGAGGGTTTCTGTTTGGGGCCACTGCTCCTAGTGCAGGTCACTGGGGCTTGACTGTATTGAATTACTCACATGCACTCAATGAATGTTGTTGTTTTAAGGTCTTCTTTTTCTTTGTGATTCTTTTGTTCCATAGCGTCGTCCCCCAGACCACAGTAATACTCAACAGTGATCGGCAGAACGCCATTGTAGCCAAGATGGACGACCCCTTGAGCAACAGGGCACCGGATTCCCTGGAAAATGTCATTAGCAAGTCAGTAGCACGGCACCACCCTCACCTTTCCCCACCACTGTGACATGTCCCGTGGGAATGAGTCAGCTCCCCGAGCCAGGGCACGGCTGAGCACGTGGTTCAGCTCTGGTCACAGCTAGGCCTGGTGGGCACTGCACCAGTTCCCGGAGGTCAGGGTGGGGGGGCCTGCAGAGTACTCACAGAGACCCATGCCCTGGTGTGTGGCTGCAGAGAGGGCAGCGGCTCGTGGGGACTCTATGTCTCGGCTCCCGGAGTCGTGGAGAGAGGTCACTGTGACTTCACAGCAGCTGGTGAGGGTGTGTCCTCCAGCTCACTCGGTGGCTGCATGGGCCTGTCTGTCTGTGCAGCACCAGGTGAGCAGACACCCTGCCTGCCGTTGCAGAAGTTAAGTGTCCTGAGTTTATGGCTTTTTTTCTTACTCCTTTTGAGACATTGTGGATGGAAGCTTGGCTAGAAATGGGAGTGGACAGGAGAAGGGTCAGCACCCCGTGTGAGGGTGAAGGCCATCAGGCGGGGTGGGGTGGTGGGCTTCTGCCCAGCAGACACTCCCCCGTGAGGATGGTGGTGCTCTTTGCTTCCCATCGAGTCTTTGAAGTTCTGTTTTGCTTTTTTCCTCTGTTTTCTCTGCGATTGCTCCTCCTCCAGCTTTGTCTGGTTTCCCTGTTGTCTTAGTTCAGTTTTCTAGGCTGGTAGTTGTGGGCACAAGGGCTGGCTATGTGGGGGGAGGCGGTGGGGAGGGGATGGGCAGCCCGAGGCTGGGCTGCCTGGTAAGAAGGTGAGGTCCCTCTGTCCTGCCTTGCTCAGGGCCCACACTGAGGTCAGTTGGCAGCCTGAGTGTTTAGGGGCAAGTTCAGCCTCGGTAGTTTTCTAGAATCAAGCCCAGGAAGTGCAGAGTGAGCCTCCTCTGGATGTGACCAGCATTGTAGACACCTTGTTGTGACTTTGCTCAAAGAGGAATTTGGCTTGTTTCCCCTCAGTGTGTAGCAGGCCTTGGTTAAGGAGGTTGAAAGGGTCCTTAAAGAGGCAGGTAACAAGTCTCCAAGTGTGTTTTCCAGGTACTCTCTTGTTCCTCACCAGGAGCCCTTGTGAGGAGAGCGGCTCCTATGGAGCAATGACTGTCCTTAAAGGCCGCCTGAGTGTTTCTGTCTGTCTGTGGGAGTAGTTGTGAGTGATGGTGTGTTTCTGGAGGCGGGACGTCTGCAGGAGTCTTGACATCACGGTCATGGACCGGTCGGTCTCTAGGCACACTTGCTCTTCATCAAGTCTTCCCTGACGTAGGCATGAAGTGACCCCTATTCAAGTGCAGCATCTGGTGGGATAACAGCCTCTGAAATCAGAAAGCACCATTCTAGGCCTGAGTCACAGTGAGTTACAGTTTTACTTTTGTGAGGGCAATGTTTGCTTTAAACGTTTAAGTTTCACTTTATGTAGTTTCTTCCACACCCCAGACCCTTTTCTACTGTTACGTTGCCAATAATCTTCGTAGAAAGAGCTGTCTGGAAGACTGTGATCCACTGGTCCAGGCGTAGTCAGGGCCTGTGATAGACCAGGCAAAGGGGACATCCCCGTGAGGCCGCCCTGACCCTGCTGTCTGCTGTGCTGCACTCATGATGTCAGGTTGTTGTGTTTCTTTCCTGTGCAGCGCTGTTCCTGGGCGGCGGCAGAACACCATCGTGGTGAAGGTGCCAGGCCAAGAAGACAGCCACCACGAGGACGGGGAGAGTGGGTCAGAGGCTAGCGACTCCATCTCCAACTGCGGACAGTCTGGGAGCCAGAACATCGGGAACAACGTCACCCTGATCACCCTGAACTCAGAAGGTGCGTCCCAGACAGTTTCTTCTTCCCGTGGCTGAGCAGCAATAGGGACAATTTTTCTTCTGTTTTTGCTTTTTAGAAATGTTATATATATTTGTTGCTTTTTAAAACAACACAATATAACACTGATGAAGAAAGGGAAAATAACTTGTGATTCTACTATTCAGAGATCTCTAAGCCTTCTGGGCCTTTTCTCTGGTGCCTTCCAGTCAGACTCGGTTTCCCTCCCGTGGCAGCAGCCTTTCCGTGTTGGTACAGATTTGCACAATCTGTTTTCAATCCTTTTTACTTAATCAGCTTCTAGGAATGGATGGCTGTAACCGTGTGTCATTTTTACCTAGTGGTTGGCTCCCTGTCTTCGATGCTCCATCTCCCATCTCTCTGATTGATGTCTGGAAGTAGCTGTCAGCTGGGATGCTGGGCAGAGGACACAGTTTAAATCAAGCCCCTGGCCCCACAGCTCTGCCTTTCCCACCTGAAGGAAGCAAGCAGATGTCAGCCCATAGGTGGACTCCTAGGGGGCTTCTAGGAGTTCCCCGGGGGAAGGCACTTCCTTTTCCCATAAGGGTATGAAGGGACTTCTCGTCTGGCCCTTGCCTGTGGTCAGCCTTGTCCTAGGGCCTCAGTGTGTCCCTTGGGACTAGCTTAGTAGTCACCACAGTCGCTGCAGTGTGGGGAGAGAGAGGAGATCAACTCAGCAGATTCAGCTTTGTGTCATGGAGTTCCGAAGTGTGTATGTTGTTTACTAGTAAGAACTTGAGGTTTTTCTGCTTCTACATCTGAGTTACTCATTTTTCCTAAAGACGGTTTGTTTTTTTTTTGAGACAGAGTCTCATTTTGTCACCCTGGTAGAGTGCCGTGGTGTCCTAGCTCACAACAACCTCAGACTCCTGGGCTTAAGTTATCTTCCTGCCTCAGCCTCTCAAGTAGTTCAAACTACAGGTGCCCACTACAACACCCAGCTAGTTTTTCTATTTTTAGTAGAGATGGGAGTCTCAGTCTTGCTCAGGCTGGTCTCAAACTCCTGAGCTCAAGTGATCCTCCCATCTTAGCCTCCCAGAGTGCTGGGATTACAGGCGTGCTCCACCATGCCCGGCCTCTTCCTAAAAACGTGATGTAGAATTTTCTGTGAGCAAAGTTAAACATTACTGTATCTGAAACATTGAAAACAATGTTTTTCTCAAAAATTGCTTTTACACCTAATACAAATGGCAGAACAGTGAAGACAGAAGGAGGCAGGAGAGACAGCTTAAAATCGAGATCTCACTCGCGTGCCCTGCAGCTGACCATCTTCAAGCCTTCATTTCAGTGGTTGTAGTGTATTCTCAGTTTGTATAGCCATCACCTCTGTGTTGTATTTATAAAAAAGGAGCCCTGTCTCCATTAGCAGCCACCAAACCCTCCCTCCTTCACTCCCCCAGCCCCAGGACCCACTGACCTGCCGTCTCTGGATTTTCCCACTGGGGACATTTCGTAGGGATGGGGTCCAAAGATGTCACATAGATAGTACCATATGTCAGCTTCCTTCCTTCTGTGGCCAAATAGTACCCATCGTGTGGGTGGACTGGGTTTTGTGTTTACCCACTCGTCAGTTCATGGACATTTGGGCTATTGCTGCTTTTTGGATCTTATAGATAATGTTGCTGTGAATGTTTACATGGGTCTTTGTGTGTGATGTATGGATTGCAAAGTCAAGGCAACTGGTTTTTTACACATTAAATTTAAGGAAAAGAGAGATGCAACTAATTTCATTTGCATGCAAATTAAATGAAAGTCACATTGTAATATTCAAGAAGACTAATTATTCTTACTCTTTTTCTATGGGGATTTTGTAAATACCCATGTAGATCTGGCTACCCATTTTAGGCCTGATGTTTGGATTAAGTTGTGAGCTAGGGCCCAGCCCAGTGGCTCTGGTTTATAATCTTAGCATTGTGGGAAGCTGAAGCTGTAGGATCCTTTGAGGCCAGGAGTTCAAGACCAGCATAGTGAGACCCCATCTCTTAAGAAATGAAAAAATTTAGCTGTGTGGTGGTGCATGTCTGTAGGCCCAGCTACATGGGAAGCTCAGGCCCAGGAATTCACAGCTGCAGACTCTGTCTTAAGTAAACAAATAAGTAGATGGGTAAATATATAGATAAATAGGTATGTCGATAAACAGTGTCATCTAAAGGTATAGTCCCCAACCACCAGGCAGGGCCTGTTGGGAGTGGGCCACACAGCAGGAGGTGAGTGGCAGCTAGCAGAGCCTATCTGTGTTCTCAGCCACTCCTCATCACCATGTCACCTGAGCTCCACCTCCTGTCAGGTCAGCAGCCAGGCATTAGATTCTCCCGGAGCCTGAAGCCTGCTATGAGCTGCATGGGGTGGGAGAGTGGGGTGGGGTTGGGGCTCTGGCCTGTGGCTTCTCAAGATAATCTAATGCCTGGTGGTCTCAGGTGGACCTGAGACCATGATGCCCGTGCTGAGGCCATCTAGTTGCAGGAAAACACACTCAGGGCTCCCACTGGTTCTGTAGTATAGTGAGTTGTATAATTATTTCATTATATATTCCAATGTAATAGTAATAGCAATAAAGTGCACAGTAAATATCATGTGCTTGAGTCATCCCCAAACCATATCCCCCTGCCCCCAATTTGCAGAAAAATTGTCTTCCGTGAAACCAGCCCTGGGTGGCAAAAAGGTTGGGGACCACTGAGCTAAAGAACCAAAATCTTGGTAATTTGGGGAGTCAGGTCTTACAAAGCATCAAGAATAAAAATTTAAAAATTAAAATTTTTAGGGTGGTGCCTGTGGCACAGTGGGTAGGGTGCTTAGCCCCATATACTGAGGGTGGCAGGTTTGAACCCGGCCCTGGCCAAACTGCAAGAACAATAAGAAAAAATAGCCAAGCATTGTGGCAGGCACCTGTAGTCCTAGCTACTTGGGAGGCTGAGGCAAGAGAACCACCTAAGCCCAGAAGTTGGAGGTTGCTGTGAGCTGTGATTCTATGGCCCTCTACCGAGGGCGATAAACTGAGACTCTGTCTCTAAAAAAAAAAAAAAAAATTAAATTAAAATTTTTTTTTTTTTTTACAAATTGTTTTAAGCCTTATAATTTTTATATGTTTTAAAATTTATGTTTCTTAATGTGATATGATTAATGTGGAATATATTTCAGTTGGGAGAAACAGCAGGCTGACCCTACAATGAACTTACCAAAAGGACTCAGATTTGGAGCTTACTTAGTATTAATATCTACATGGAAAAATACAAAATTTTTTTTGTTTGTTTGTTTTAGGATGTAAAAGTGTAACTTTATTTTATATTAGAGAAAGGGAAGAGATGAGAAAAGAGAGAGAAAGGAGCAGAAAGCACAGAGTGAGAGGAGAGAAGATGGGGTGAAGAAAAAGGGGAGTAGTGAGTGGCATCCCAGAGAGAGAGGGGAGCACCGGCCACACAGAATTTCTCGTACATGATTTCAAGTTCCTTAAACATAAATCATACTCTCGTGTAAGGCATCCTTCTTTGGCAATGGCTTTGAGTGAAATTCTATAACCACTTTTAAAACTGATTATTTCCACCAAATGTGACTTTAACATACAGTACAGGTTGTTGGGATCAGGGCAAATTGGAGAAATTTTCCAAAATTAAATTTTACTTTATTTTGAAGAAGCGGTCATAATTCAGAGCCACTGTTTTCTCATTCCCTTAGGAGGAAACATTTTTATAATAAATCTATCTCACCAACGCTGTCCTTGGGAATGTGTATCTCAGCAGGGTGTCGATGCCCTGAAATGTCTGGGCCGTGTTCTTCGGACACAGTGGTCTGGGGAAGATTATATGGAGACACATGAGGTCGTCTTCACGTGATTGCTGTTCATGTAAATGTTGGAAAAGGAGGGGACCCATCAGTGTCTCATGTATCTGATTTACTGTCGCTCTGGGGTGGTGTCACCTGCTAGACATCTCTGTGGATTTATGACACACCAGGGGTGAGACATAGTGTGATCCTGCTGTGGCCTCCCCCAGTGAGCCTGGAACACTGGCTGGGCTGGGAGAGGTGGAGCGGGCAGGGCTCCGCGGAGGGAGGAGGCGTTATTGATGGGGGAGGTCGTGGAGGTGCCGGCTAGTTTTCAGCTTAGGTTCCTATTCCACGAGCCCTGGTTTCAAGGGGACACCTCGTGCTTACCCTTCTATGTCAGCATTTAAGTGCCTGAAATTTAGAGGGACACAGATTTCAAGGTGGTCATTTCTTAAGAATTCTGAACGGCGTGTTTGAATAGACATGCTGTTTTATATCAAATTTGGAATCAATTCCCTATACTGCAAGGGTACTGTATCATTTTATGCTAAATTTTTACTTAGGTGATTGTTTGTTCTGACATAAGCCGCATTTGAATAATAACGACCCTGGCTGGCCCTGTTGGTGGGTTTGGGACTAGAAGGTGTGGGGCCGGGTCACTCCACAATTAAGGCCAACCAAGTTAGAGGAGTAAGTGACCGAAAGGAACCTAGCTTGAGGTCTCTGAATGAATGAAGAGATTTAGTTATGATTCTTAACAAAGGGATTAGAATCCTTGCTGTGCATACATTTAATAATGCTTACAAAACTGCACAAATTGCACATATAAAATGTCAGGCACTTAGTTTTAATGGGGAAGGATTGTACCTCAGTCATGATTGAATGTTTATCAGGAACTGGTCTCATGAATGTTGCACAGCCCAGTTAGTGGGGTGACTTATGGGGAGACTCTATGTGAGGACGGTGGTGAGGCTGCAGGTTGTCTGTGAGAATGGTCAGTGGGAGGAGCTGAGCGCTCCAGAGATTTGTGTATGAACTTGCCCACTGCCTCCCTGCATGCAGGGTGGTGGAGGGAGGAGGCTGGGCAGGAGGTGAGTTCTGGGCTGTGGTGCAGCTGGGTAGCTGTTTGACCTTGTCCCTCTGCTCACACTGCCCGTGGAGGCAGCTCAGCTGTGGAGAGTGTGGACAGGTAGCTGGAGTGACCACACAACCCCAGAATCACAGGAGCTTTTGCACTATTGGTAAGTTTTCTTTCAAATTAAGAAATGTTTGAGGCCAGGTGTGGGCTCACGCCTGTAATCCTAGCACTCTGGGAGTTTGAGCCCGGTGAATTGCTGAGCTCAGGAGTTCGAGACGGGCCTGAGCAAGAGGGAGACCCCATGCCTGCTAAAAATAAAAAACTAGCCTGGTGTTGTGGCAGGCATCTATAGTCCTAGCTGCTCAAGAGGGTGAGGCAAGAGGATTGCTTGAGCCCAAGAATTTAAGGTTGCTGTGAGCTATGATGCCAGGGTGACAGAGTAAGACTCTGTCTCAAAAAAAAAAAAAAAAGTTTAAGCATCACAGGTGAAGTCTTTATAATAGAATTGTTGATGTAAAATAGCCCACCCTAAACCAAAGCCAAACAAAGCAGAAAGTGATGCAATGAGTCATCTCTAGATAGTAGTTTCTGTCCTTTGTAGTTTGTGAAATGTTAGTGTTACAGAATTCTAAAATTCTCAAACTCCATGTCACATAATTATGAAACCTCTGATTTTACAGAAAGGACCTTGGGGAGGCCACCTGGTTTTCACAGCTGCCCTCCAGGCACAAGGCTTGCGAGGTGGGTGTACCCCTGCCCCGCTAATCTTTCTGGCCCCTCCCCATCCTGTATATTCATTGAGTGCCCACCAGCACGTGGTGGGGCTGAAGGCTTTGAACCTCTACACAAGACTGCTAGACGTTTAGCCAGTGGATGAGAGAGGGCACACGGAGCTTCATTTGTACAGGTGTTTCTGCCCCCAGATCCTGGCATATCCCAACCCAACAATAAAATATTTTGTTCTTGTTCTCTACGTTAGGTGGAAGAAATGAGCTTTTGGCAGTAATGATCACCCCATGTCCTGGCACTGGACGCCTTCGAGCTGTGATGTGTGTGTGGTACGGCAGCTTGAACGGCCACGTGGCTGTGACCTTTGCTCACTTGCCCAGCAAGTTCTGTCTGTGTAGATTTATTCTGTGTCACTGTTCACTGTTGGAACACTTTCTTTCCTTCTGTGAACTGTTTTGCTCTTGAGATTCACAGTCAGTTTGAACAAGCCCTTATAGAAGCCAGATGAAAATTTCTTTTTAGTGCAGATGGAAAATGTAGCTCATGTCTATGACTGTTCTCCAAAACCTTGCCTAGCACTGGCTGAGCTTGAGCGGGGAGCTAACTGGATGTGACTTTGTTGCGCTGGGTGCCGTGTTCCGAGTCTGGGAATAAGTGCATGCGGTCAGTGGTGGTGACATGCGGCCTTATCTAGCAGGCAGGACTGTTGTGGTCCAGAGCACCTGCTTCTGGGTCGGTTCCACTCTTCCCTGCCCTGTGACCTTGCTGAGACCTCCTCACACAGGGCAGTGCGCAGGGGAGGGGACCCTCCTCGAGGGCACCTTCACCTGGTACCATTTTAGGGTCAGGGAGATTATTTGGGAAGCCTCTGAGTTTCTAAGCAGTGTGAATTCTCTTGGTTTCTGATCACCCTGGAGCTTTCTTCTGCCTGACGGGGAGGCTTTCTGAAGGTGATGTTTGCCGAGTCACTGCACATTGTCAACCTCAGGATGAACCAGAGAGACTTTCTAGGTTGAGAGTGGCCAAAGCACTCATAGAGTCCAGCTTGGAAGCCCAGAGTGAGTGCCTGCTCAGAGGCACCCTTTCCTTGGCCTCAGAGGGAGCCGGGAGGGTGTGGGGCTTGCAGGCAGCACTCCCAGCCGCAGTGGCCAGTCCCACCCTGCCTCAGGGTCCCTGTTCTGGGACAGCTCTGTCTCCTGTGGGTGCTTGGCTCTTCTCTCCTCCACTTGGACCCCCCCCTTCCCATAGGTCAGCCCTGTGCCCCACTGAGGGTGGAGGCAGTGCCAGCGCTTCCCATGCTTGAACACTGCATCTAAGTGTTTGCTGTTGAGCAAACCAGAGGCAAAGGCTAGACCGTGAGCACCGGGGACATGGCGAGCCTGGCTGCTCCTGCTGGGGCTGCCATCTTAGTATATCTCTCTGTGGGAAATGGCTGGCAGCTGGGCACAGAGTGAGGAGGTCCAGAGCAGAGTCAGTGCTGAGGACAGCGGGCATGTCCAGTGATGCAGGAGGTCAGCAGGTCCTTGGGAGTCCCACAGCAGCAGGGGGAACATGTGGCCTCCCTGGTCTGGGGTCCCAGAGGTCCCGCTCCTACGTCTCCCCCACCTCCTGCACACCTGCTCTGGACACAAGACTCAGTGTCCTCCTGTTAGTAGCAGCCTTTGGGATATGGAAAAATGCAAAACCACAGGTGGTGTGTGTGGCAAGGAAGAGTGTCTGGCCACAGGAGGAGGAGCAAGTGTTTCCAGGGTCACTGGTGAGCTGTGAGAGGGCAGGGAGAGGCAAGGCCCCCACACAGGAAAGGGTGACAGGAAGAAAGGTCCAGAGCACGGAGGTGGGCGGGACTCAGTGGTGAGTCAACAGGACCCTGCTACACCCGACCACCCTCCGTCCTGCAGAGGATGACCAGAGGGCTCCTTGGTCTCACCTGGGCTGTGTGACCAGAGGGCTCCTTGGTCTCACCCGGGCTGTGTGACCAGAGGGCTCCTTGGTCTCACCCGGGCTGTGTGACCAGAGGGTTCCTTGGTCTCACCCGGGCTGTGTGACCAGAGGGCTCCTTGGTCTCACCCAGGATGTGTGACCAGAGGGCTCCTTGGTCTGACCCAGGCTGTGTGACCAGAGGGCTCCTTGGTCTCCCTCGTGTCAGTGTGCGGGACCCTCTAGGGATAGGGATGGCCACTGCTCTCCATCGTCCTGGAGACAGGTATGCCACGTGGGCTGCTGCTGACTCCCTTCCAGATGCAGCAAAGCTTGAAACAAACACAGTTCTTAAACTTTTTCTTTTTAAAGCTCTTTAGCCTGTAGGGGCTGTGAAGAGAATCAGGTGTTGGGAGTAGAGGATTTGATGTGCCTCTTCCAGGTTGGAGGATGAACTGGGGCCTGTGCCCTGCTCTGATCTGGTGGCCTCCCCAGCACTACAGGGATCCCACCCCTGGGCACACTCTGGTGGCTGCACCTGGTCAGGCTGTGAGAGCTGCAGGAGGCCCTGGATGGGGCCAGCTATGTGGACACCCCCAGCTGCGTAGACGCCCCAAGTGCTGGCTGAGCTTGCCAGAGGGTCTGGCCTTGAGTGCAGGACCAGGTGTCTGCACAGCACAGCGGCTGCGCTCAGCTTTCTGCGCGGCCTGAGAGCAATCTGGGCTGGCTATAGGGGAGTGACAGGATTGTGTCTGGTCTCTGTCAGTGGTGGGCCCCGTGGGCTTCCTCATGTCGGGTAGGGGCTGCTCCGGCACCGTGGGGCCACCTGAGCTGAGCGTCTGACCGTACCCGTGGCTCTCTCCCCTCCAGAGGACTACCCCAATGGGACGTGGCTGGGTGACGAGAACAACCCCGAGATGCGGGTGCGCTGTGCCATCATCCCCTCCGACATGCTGCACATCAGCACCAACTGCCGCACAGCCGAGAAGATGGCGCTGACGCTGCTGGACTACCTCTTCCACCGCGAGGTGCAGGCCGTGTCCAACCTCTCAGGCCAGGGCAAGCACGGCAAGAAACAGCTGGACCCACTCACCATCTACGGCATCCGCTGTAAGTGTGGGCCCTGCACCTTTATGGGCCTGGAGCTGGCGGCTTGTGGTGGCTGCGGGTGGGTCGGCGGTGGGTAGGGCTGGGACCCCATCCTCACTGTCAGGGGGATGCTGGCCTCAGTGATCATGCCAGACATGGGAAGTGGGGGCTCTGAGTTGAGCCTTCCCCATGGCCGCTGTCGTCTGGTGTCCTGCAGTTGAGAAAGATGGCGGGACATATTTCTCTAGGGACTCTAGGGATTTCCGAAACTGACCCTCACATCCTAGGCTGCTCTGGAGCAGGAGGTGAAGGGGAAGGAAGAGCAGGCTCTTCCTGGTCCTATGCCTGGAGCATCTGTCCAGACTCCCTTTGGCTTCCCCAGGGAGCAGGCAGGATGCGGCCTGCCTCTTCCTTCCAGAGAGGGCTTGGCCTCGGCCGCCACACCAGGTATAAGGGAAGCAGGAGGGCTCCCCAGAAACCCCAACACAGGGCAGTCCTCTTCCTCTTCGAGGAGGTCGTCACCACGTTACCCTGCTGGTGACTCTGGAGTGGATGCAGGCCTGTGCACGCCTCTGCATGCTCTGGCCTGGCACTCGCATGCTGGGATTTTGGTTCCAAGGGTTCTGCCTTGTTCCAGAAGCCATTTGACGTGGCTTCTAGTAAGACGTGAGATAGAGGGAGCAAAGGCAGGAGGCCCCAGCACAGGGCTTCAGTAGCATGCCAGGAAGCCCAGCTCTGGGGGGCGGTTGCTGCAGGCCCATGTGAAATCCAACTCAGCAAATGGGGGAGCAGTGTCCACAGTCCACTAGGAGGGGCCTAGCTGTCCTGGTGAAGTTCCCTGCCGCTGACCTGTAAACTTTTCTTAGTGTTAAGAGAAAAACAAAGGCTAACTTTTTCAAGAGCTAATTACAAAAATGGTGAGAATCTTTTCATGTGGCAGCTTACGCTGACCTTTGGCTAAGACTGAAGGTATTGTACTAATTGCAGAATTTTGAGGCAATTGCTGTAAAGTGGAGCCAGGCCCTGCTCACACGGGAGTGGGATGGTGGCTTGTCTTCCTAACAACGCTGGAGCTTGTCCTAAGGCTTGGCCCAGGTTTTGTGTCACTGCTGTCTGACTCAATGGGCACCTGCCGTGGACCCTGGTGTCACTGACTCACGGAAGACCACCTGTGTGGGCAGCAGACGCTGGCTTTTCAGACGGGAAGCAGAGTAACCTGTAGACACAGAGAGTGTTTCAGGGCAGGTTCAGAGCCGAGCCAGCAGCCCTGCTTTAGAATGTGGCGTGCCAGGCCCTCCCAGCACATGGGCCCTGCTTGAATGGGTGCAGGTGACCACATGACGGGCTTCTAGCCTTAAAGCATGAGGCTGTGGCTCATGCCTGTAATCCCAGCACTCTGGGAAGCTGAGGCAGGTGGATTGCTTGAGCTCATGAGTTGGAGCCTGAGCAAAAGCGAGACCCTGGCTCTACTAAAAATAGAAAAACAGAGGCAAGAGGATCACTGGAGCCCAAGAGTTGAAATTTGCTATGAGCTATGATGCCATGGCACTCTACCAGAGCAACAGAGTGAGACTTTGTCTCAAAAAACCAAACAAACAAACAAACAAAATATCCTGGGGCTGCTTGGCAATGAGCGGCATGTGCGGTGTTTGGGGGACCACATGAAGAGTGCTGTTGGGATGCACAGACAGGGCAGCAGGCCCAGTGCCGAGAGTGCAGTCAGACATACACGAGCAGCTGTAATACTGAAGAGGGCAGCCTGGATGGATGGGAGGGGTGCTGCAGGAGCCAGTGGCGTGTGGTCTGAGAAGGGGTGTTCCAGGGAAGGGGTCCTTCCCCTAGGGCAGCAGTTCTCAACCTGCGGGTCACGACCCACAGAAACTGTATTAAAGGGCCACGGCATTAGGAAGGTTGAGAACCACTGCCCTAGGGGTTAACAGGGTGGTGGCAGGTGTGGAGGAGGGTGGTCGACCTGATCTGGAATAAAAGTCTGGGCATAGACTGTGATCTGTTGTGTGAGCGGGGCACAGAGGATGTTCCTGAGAGGTGATGGAGCATAGCAGGGTGGTGGGTGGGCGTGGGGGAGTCTGTAGGGTGGTGGAAGGTGCTATGTGGGACAGAGCAGTTGGCAGGCCCTGGACGCCTGTCCCTCTCAGCTGTGACGAGTTTCTCACTGTCAGGAGGCTTGAGAGGAGCATCCAGCCTGGCATCTGGGGCTGCTGTCTCCTTGGGGTCCACTGACTTCAGGGGTGTCCTCCAGGGAGGCCCAGGTTGTTGACTGGGCCCACCAGGCTATCCACACACCCTGCACCCTAGGCCTGCCTCCTTGTGCTCCCAGGCAAGCTCAGAGCACTGTCCCTGGCAGTGGGCATCCTGCCAGTGCTGTATTGCCTCTGGGAGCTGCCCTGGTTGAGAGCTCCTGTGGGACGGCTGTCCATCCCTGCTCTTGTGGCGGGCACTGTGGAGATGTCCCGTGAGGGCTGGGCTTCGGAGCAGAGTGCTGGGCAGGACTGTGGGCTGGGCTGGCTTTCAGGACAGTCGGCCTGTGAACAGTGCCATGTGGAGGGGCTGGGGATTCTGCAGACATCAGTGAGGCTTGGCCTGACAGGCTCTCGGAAGCTCGCTGACGCTGCTGGGCGCTCTGGTAGATAGCCCATTTGTCTCAGGTGACTAATTCACTATCATAAACTTCTGAAGTACAGCAGAAAAATTGTGTTTACATTGAAGGCCACATGGCAGGGCTTGTGAGGGTTCTGGCGCAGGCTGTGGGTGGGCCCCTGAGGATTCCTGCGGATGGAGACAGCCCTTTGTGCCGGCAGCCAGTGTGTGTCACGTGGGCAGGGAACCTGTGGGCTTTCTCAGAGGAACTCCCGACTCAGCGTGGTGTGTTTGTCACACGTCCAGGCTGTCCAGCCCTTTTCTGCACATTGGAAAAATAAGAGTCTTCTCAGGCCTCACATTAAATATGGACTCTGACAAAAGCTGGTGAACCAGAGAAGAGGTCTCCACCCCCCATGGTACTGACACTACTGCTAAGCGAAAGCAGTCTGATCTGTCTGCGGCCCGTGGGCCACAGGTTGGACATCCCTGTATGTAATTTCACAATGAATAAGTATCTCAGAAATCTGAGAGCCTGTGCCCATCCTCAGGGCATCCCCATGGGAGTGTGACGTGCCCCTCACATGCAGCCCATGTGGCCCCACTGTTAGCACAGGTGAAGCCACTGTGGGGAGTATAGGGCCGGGGAGGGCCATCAGAGGATATGGTTTGGTGCAGTGCAGACTGTCTCCCAGACTCAAACTGTGGCTCTGAGCCGGTGGCACCCACCCTGATCCTGGGTTGAGACCCTGGATGCTTAGTGTCACCAGCAGGGAGTGACAAGGAGCTGGGCCTGGCTGTGTTGTGTACTACTGTAAGGCTCTGTCACCACAGAGGGTGGGCAGCCATGTGGATATGGCTGTTGTGTCCTTGAACAAAGCGCTGTGTAGGCGGGTCCAGGGGGCCTGCAGGGCAGGGAGCACCCAAGGGCCACGTCTCTGCCTGCCACGGTTTCCGATGGGTGAGTGTTTCAGGCCTTCCTGTGTTGGGGGCTGCTCTAGGGCCAGGCCTATGTTTAGACAGTGTGGGGACCAGGGCCGGGGAGGGGGTCTGCCCTGCCTACCCCAGGTGGGCGGCATCTTAGAGCCTCTGGGCAGGTGCCCACTCTGGGCCCTGGGCCAGCCCTTGATGCGTGCCCTGTGCCTGGTGATTGGGTTTTAAATGAGAGCACCATACAGGGCAGCGGGGAGGTGAAGCAAGGCCTTCCTGCCACCTCACCAGGCCCTTCTGAGGGTGTGGGGGACACAGGCACAGACCCCTTCCCGCCTTCCAGGCCAGGTGCACCTGTGTCCACAAAACCTTGTGGAGGTTGAAGTCCTGGTGTTCACATTTACCTGGAGTATTCGTTTGCCTTTTCTCCCTTTGGCCCAGTTTAGTCCTATTGCTGATTGTTGACAAAGAGCAAACTGAACCAAACCAAAGCAGGGACCAGACTGCCCAGACCTCGGCTCCGTCGGCAGTGAGAGCCGCCTCTGCGAGCCGCCTCTGCCACATGGTCCTGTCTCTGCCACCCCGAGAGCTCCCAGCCATCTGCGACCTCAGTGCTCCCCAGGGAGAGGGTTTCCATTCTTCCTTTCCTTTGGTCAGCAGAAATAGTTTTTTCCTTTCTATGAAAAAGAAGATCTGTATTTTGAAACATACAGAGGTAACATTTGTAAGTACCACTTTCTCCAAATGAAGGAACAAGTTTATTTGAAAAGGGGGGGGAGCAGTGCAATCTGCTTTTCTGGGTGTTGGTTTTCTTAGGGTTCCCAAGGATTGACACTCCTGTCCCGAGAATTTAGACAGCTAACCAAATCATTCGGGTGTGCTGTGCATTATTGTAACATAAAAAACCTTGGAACATTATCATAAGAAACATGATGTAAGAATACAAGTGCCCCCCCCCCCCCCGCCTGTGTTTGAACGGAGAACGCAGGCTTAGTTCTCAGTTTTACTAATGGACCGTCATGTAAGTCTCTCCTTGAGCCAGGCGGTAGAGCACATCACTAACTTGGGACTTACTGGGAGTGGAGTGAGAATGCACATCAGGGCAGGTCGCCCCGATCTCTGCAGACACCGGTGCAGAGTGCTAGTGTGAGTCAGGGAAGTCGGATTCATCTGGACAGAGTAAGATTCACATATGCAAAGACAACCACCATCGGCTCTTTTTAAATTCTCCCGCCCAGCACAGGTGGCATTTCCCAGCAGAAGGCCATGGGCAAATCTGCAGCTTCCTTCCCACGGGTCTCTCTGAGCCCAGTGTGGTTCTTAGGCTGTCATCAGGCGCCTGGGGCAGCCATACCCAACTGCCATGGCCCAGGTGGCCTCAGTTCTCTCAGGGGCGCTGGGGTCAAGTGTCGGCAGGGCCACGCATCCTCTGAAGGTTTCTCCTTCTCCCAGCTTTTGGGGGTGGCTGGCTGCTCAGTCTTTGGCCTTTGCCTGTGGCTTTGTTACTCTGACTCTGTCTCCACTGTCATCTGGGCCCCCTTTCCTTATAGGGACCCGGTCACTGGATTTAGAGCCCATTGTACTCTAGTGTGACCTTGTCTTAAACTGCTTATTACATCTGCAAGGACCCCACGTAAGGTCATGGATTCTATGGCGACATTGTTCAACCCAGTACACAGGACACAGGTTCAGTGATCAGTGCTGTCTCTAGTCCAGGTCTCTGTGGGCTGACAGGGTGAGGCTGCTTTACCCGTGCCCTTACGGGCAGGTTGCAGGCAGTGCAGGAGCAGGTGTATGTCTGTAGGGACACTGAGTGTGCAGAAGTTCTAATCAGCTCGGGCTCAGGACAGGGAGTGGAGAGCAGCTGGAGGCCCCTCCTTGGCAGGTGACCTCAATGCTGAGAATGTGGCTGGGGTGGCTGGGAGGCTGGAGGCTCTGGGTGTGGGGGTTCCCAGAGTGATCACAGAGATCTGGGAGCGATCAGATCTGCCACCTCCCTTGGGCAGAGAGTCATAGATTCCTTCTGCTTTTCCAGGCTGGCGCTATCAAGTCAAGTCTGTAATTTCAAGAAATAAATTGTTTGGCACTCATCTGCTTTGCTCTCTCTGTGAACTGGAGATTACATTAGCAGTGGCAGTGTTCTCATCGCTCTTGACTGATAAGCCTCCTGCCACCCACCAGGGACGCTGCTTTCGCCTTCACCATCTCTGCTTCCCACGGTGCCTCACACACTCTCTGAGAGGCCCGTATATGAGAGCCGGGAGCCTGGTTTTGTGATTTGAACCACTGGTGCCAGTCACAGGGGCTCTGGAGACTGGGAAGTTCAGAGTGATGGGGCGCTGCCAGGAAGAGGGTGGAGGGCAGTGTGGTCTTGGCTCTTGCTTCTGCCAGGGCCTCTGGCAGAGGTGGTGGGGACAGGCCTGCTGAAAGTGGACTAAGGCGAGATGGGATAGTTTGCTCCCCAGATGTGACAGATGCCTCATCATGTGCCTTGATCACCAGAGGCTGGGTGGCTTCTGTTCTTTGTGTCCTGGAAATGCTGCACATGTCACTGTCACTTACAGTGACAGCACATCTCCTACCCAGAGGGCTCTCGTGCTCAGGCTCAGGGGCACACGGCTTACGAGCTGGGTGCATCCGTGTCTGCCTTGCTGGGGCCTGCACAGCCCGGCTTCCTTTCCCCCCGCTGGGCCTCACTCTGTGTTGCTGACCTGATGTGTGCAAATCACTTCTTTCTATAGTTTTTGCCTGAAAACTGAAGTGAGGGTAACAGCATTCTTGTGTCCTGAGTCTTTTTTTTTTTTTTAATGTGTGCCAGGTAACATAAGAGAGAAATTCCCCTACAAGTGTAACATGACAGTTAGGGTCAGGGTCATCTCTTGATCTGTCGTTGTAAGATTTTTCCTACCCGACTTGTCAAGCTGAGGTTTCTTGGTGCTATCAGAAAAGGTAAAGTCTAGAAAGCTTCTTGCAAAGCTAGGGGAAGCAGCGAGGCCAGGGCATGCATGGAGGTCAGGAGTCAGAGCTGGTGGACTGGCGGCAGGTTTCTGGGGGCAGTGTGATTCCTGGGCTGTGTCCACCTGTTGGATCTTCTCTCCCAAACCCACAGCTCCTTGAGTAGGAGATACTTTGTTGCTGGTCCCTTGGGTGGTGTCCTGTGGTGCCGTCAGGCGGGGCCCCAAGCTGCTGTGAGGCGAGGTCTCGGGAGAACTTACAGACAGGTCGTGTGCCACTGTGTGGGGTGTGATATGAGCCAGGATTTGAGCTGGCAAACTGAATGTTACGAAGTCGAATGGAAATGTTAATGTTTTTGCTCATTTCTTGTATTCCTGCAAGCAACCCATGTGTTATTTACGTAGCGTATTTATATATAGTGTGTGGAACACATATAACACTTAATTATGAAAATGTGCATTTACATAGTGCATGTTATATGTTCTTTTCCATTAATAACAAGTTTTAAAATTTTGTACAGTTTCATTAATCCCTGAGTAGGGTAGTTAGAGGTGTTTTTCTTTGCGCTTAGAGGTGTGAAGACAGGAGATGGTTATGGACATGTGCTTGGACCTGTGTGATTGCTGTCTCTTTCCTTGTCTGGAAGACCCCAGTGTAGGTGGGCTTCCGTGCGAGCTGCTGGGCAGCTGGCTCTCCTCCCACTGAGCTGACAGCTGGCCCAGATGTCAGGGCTGTCCCAGCCCATAACAATGGGTCAGTGATGCTTATGGAATGATGGTTATGTGATCACCTTAGAGATGGCCTGAAGAGCCACGGAAGGCAGAGCGGCTGCTTTGTTTAGGGTTCCCTTTTACTCATGAGGATGCACCACTCTGGGCTGTCGCTCGTCCTGAGCTTGTGGGTCCTGCCCCACAGCCTGGCTTCCTGTATCTGGAGTGCAGGCTCTCTGGCTGTCATTCTGTTCACAGCCAGAGAGGCCCTGAGACGCGCTCACAGAAAGTGTCAAGAAGGATCTTTCCAGAGTCCAGGGTACTTTTGGTACTTAATATGATAGTTAAAACAAACACTTCCTCTGTCTTGATTATTTCTAGTATTTTGGTCTCAATAAGAACAGATTTTCATGGCTTGGACAGTAATTTAACTCTCAGCAGATGGTCCAAACTCTGTGCCCTTAGTAGTCAAAACAGGAAGTTTTCAGCTTAATCTTTTTGTTTTTACAATTTTGAATTCCATCCATTTATTTTCCTGTTGACCACTGGAGTTGTGTGAGCCCGCCTGAGAGGTCAGTGTTAAAGAGGACTTCTTATGATTTCTGGCTTGGTGATCACTGATTCCTACTGTCATGTGGTATAGAGAAGGGGCCTTGTAGTCTGCTGAGAAGTAGGCTGCCCCTCCTGTCCCCGCGCTCCAGGGTCTCCTAGGTCCTCGGTTTCTTCCTTGTTGAGCCAGGGTCTCTGGATGTTGATCAGTCATGTTTGGGGACTCTCTGTAAATGTGACTGATTACTAACTGTGGGTGTCAGTGAGTGGGCTGAACCCCAGTAGTGCAGGCTGTGTGCCCTCTGAGCTGGGCCTGCAGGGCTCCCTGCTCCTCACAACGGGTGTCCTGCGTGAGCAGCCTGAGAGGAGGCCTCGCGGGTTACACAGGCATGCACTGGACTTGGGGGAGCAATGGAAAAATGTCTGAAGGTTGATTGTGATCACCATTCGTCCAGTAAACATGCAAGCACTTACCAGGTGCTGAGATGTTCCGGGTGCTCAGCCTGCAGGGGCAGACAAGACAGAGACCCAGAGATTGCTGTTTGTAGGGTGAAGAGCAAACACAAACTCCCAAGTAGCTGGGGTCTCTGAATGCTGGGGAGTGAGCGGGGTCTGTGAAAGCAGCACTGTGGGCAGCCCAGCCGTGGGAGGCAGGGTGAGGGCGCGGCGGCGAAGGTGGGGTGTTGAAGTGATGTCTAGCTAAGACCTGAAGGAGGTGAGGGAGGCCGCCAAGCAGATACAAATGAAGTGGAGGGATGATGAGCTGAGGTTTCAGAAAGCCAGTTTCGATTAAATTGTTGGGATCCTTGACTCTGTGCTCTGGACATTAAGTGCTGTTGTGAATTTGGGGCCGACAGAGAAGCTGGAGGGTGAGAGGCTGGGGACCTCGGTGAGGATACCTGCTGCCCCTCTCCTCATGTTGAGGTTATTTAAAGGTTAGGTAAATGGAAAGAATGTATGACTATATTTTAGTATTTATACCCCATCTTGGGACATGTGATTTTCTGGATCCTTTGCAAGGGGCAAGGAGTCAGGGGTCTGGTGTGCAGGTGCGGCCCCAGCAAGCACCCCGTTCTGTGTCCAGGTCGCTTCTGTCAGCTGAGCCCGAGCAGGTCTCTTATCTCACAGCTGCTGTTTGCGATGTGTTCTTGTAGGCCACCTTTTCTATAAATTCGGAATCACAGAATCCGACTGGTATCGGATCAAGCAGAGCATTGACTCCAAGTGTCGGACGGCGTGGCGGCGGAAACAGCGGGGCCAGAGCCTGGCGGTCAAGAGCTTCTCACGGAGAACGCCGTCCTCCTCTTCCTACAGTGCCTCAGGTACGGCTGTGCCTTGTGGGGGCTGGGCCCCCGTCTCCAGCTTGAGTGCAACCTGCGTGGCCGTGCTCTCAGGGGCATGGTGCAGAGTGAGGTCGGCCTGGCTCTCAGAATCTACAGGAACCTAGTGAAGGGGAGGCTTCATTCCGCATGCTCATCTTACAGGGAGAAAACCTCTGTCCTGTAAGCTTGAGGCTCAACCTGCCCCACTGGGCCACCTGGGAGGTTTTCTAGTAGGTCTGAGCCACAGAGGGGCTCGGTCGGGTGCTGGACAGGTGTGCGTGAAGCACAGATGGCCTCTTACCCTGCCGTCTGGCGGCTCCTGAGCATGGAGCTCCTTCACACTCAGTGTAATCCAGTAACAATAGCATTATTGTGTTATTGGAATTTGCATGGTGACCACGGATGAAGGGTTGGAGTGGGTTCTACATTTTCCTACTTTTTATTCTTATTTTGAATTTCTGGCCTAAGATAATGGGGAAAAATAACCCTCTTAGAGTTACCTCTCTGGCATTGCTGGAAGGATTGTTTTTCCCTGGGAATGACAATGTGACTTTATGTCGGTTTTCACCAAAGACATCTCAAAATATTCGAATAAATATTTGACTTAAAACAATCTTTTTAAACTCCCACAGTAGCTAGCTCCCTTGGCAGTGGCTCCGGGAACTCGAGCTCTGGCTGGGGCTGGGGTCAGGACCCAGGGGCAGCCATGAGCAGGGCCAGCTCTTCTGAGTGGGGTCTTTGTCGGCCAGAGCTCTTTGTTCTGGAAGCCTTGCAAGCTACAGACCAGATCTCCTGGAGTGCTCTCGGCATCCTGAGCCTGCTTCAGGAAGCAGCTCTCTCAGTTGTTTTGGTAGTTACCAGACACTCAGCCCTGGCCGCTGCCAGGGCTCTGAAGGTGGGAGGTGCTGGCTGCGGTTGGCCACCCAAGTCGTGCCCCTAAGGCTGTGCTCTCTCGAGTGGTGTGTATTGAAGCTCTTGGGAGCCTGGCCTGAGATTGAGAAAGCTGCCTTGGGAATTGAGAGGGTGGCAGGTGGTCCTGGGGTGGGTCCTGTGCATTTGCTGGGAGCTGTGTGCACAGCAGTCCTTGGCCATGGAAATGGAGTCCAGTGGGGACTCTCAACATAAGTCAGTTTCTTGCCAGGGACTTTAGTGAGCAAGAAGCTCTCACTATACGACTTGACCCCTGTTGGACATAATGGTCTACATCATTAGGGTACTAAAAGCTCTAGAAGGCGTACAGATAATGAGAGGAAATTTCATAGCTGCAAATATAGCCTCAGAGGGTCTGTGAGGCGCAGATACGGAAGAGCCGTCACTGTTGCAGTCCAGGTGGTCTCAGGGCTTTAGCCGTGGAGGCTCTCTGCGTCCAGCTCTGCGCATCTGACTCATGATGACCATGAGTGGTGATGTTTGGAGCCACTTAAAAGATTGTTCAGAGACAGGCTTTCATGATGGTTGTGGGACTTGTGTGGGAATGGTTAGAGGCAATAGCTAGAAATTCGGATTCCCCTAGGTCTGGTTACAATCCAGTAAATGCCTGGGATGTGGTACATCAGTAGAAAAGCAGACTGGCTTTGAGGGTCCTCAGAGGGGAGGGACAGAAGGTTCTGGAAGGTAGACACGGCCCATCTGGGATTTTGTTGTTTTCTTCCTGGGGTCCACATGCCTGGGCACAGGGTTAGCTTTCCATAGATGTTCTGGACGAACAGAGAAGCATTGCTGAATGCACAGCTCTTCTCGTCCATGGGGTGGTTGCTTTGAGATGGGGTGTATCCCCATCTCTGGAGGTGCTAGGGTGTAGTCAGGGCCTCTTGGCGGGAGATAGCACAGAGAAGAGCATCTTCAAGGTCGACACGCAGGTGGATGCCCTTGGAATTACATTAATTCAGGTTCTGGTTAGTGCCCTCGGGGAGTGGCCTGGAACCCCACATTTCTAAGGAGCATCTGTGTGGTGCTGACACTGCCAGTCCAGACCATCTGAGGGTGGAGGTGTCAACTGCATGGGTAGCTCCCAGGACAGCTGTGGGCCCCTCCCGACTTTGCAGTTGGAGATGGAGATGCTTCGAGTCCCAGTTCCGGTACGTCTCTGTCTTCAGGTAGCTTGTGGTTTAGCCTTATTTTTACATTTACTTCCTTACTGCTGGTTTCTCTTCTAGTTCTGAGTCTTTCTTTCAATTGAATGGCAGAGTTCAGTTTAATAATAGTTGGATTTCTTTAGCATATTTTGTTTGTTTATAAACATGTCAGGATTCTTCTGAGATGCTGTGTTTGTGAGTGCAGGTGCTGTTGGTGTCTTGTGGGCTGTGAACAGCCCCCACCAGCACCACGTCTTCAGTGCCTGGGTGCCCGGGTGGGCCCCTGCGTGGATGGATTGTCTGAGAAACCCTGAGGTTTCAGCCGCCCGACTGGCTTCCGAAGAGTGAGAGTCCAGCGTAGCCTTTCACTGCCTAAAGAATGGGCCGTTTTCACAGTAGCACGTCCTGTCCCTGCTGGGGGGGAGCTTCTCCGTGTTCTCCCGGGTGATGGGCCCTCATTGTCTGGGGGTCAGAGGATGGACTCTGCCCCAGGTGCTTGGGTGGGTGTGAGCACAAACAGGCCTGGCTAGGGGTGAGGGTCAGGTTTAAAGCAGGGCTTTTTAGATACCCTGAGAGGGTGGGCAGCATAGCAGAATTCCTGTGGCTTTGGGGCATTTATTTTTCTAGGAAGAAACAGGTCTGAGTTTCTGAGCTTTGTGTCCAGTCTCATGCCACTGCCGGAAACTCAGACACGCGCCTCATTGTGGGTTCTCGGGAAGCCTGCTCACGGGTCTGGAGCTGGCTTTCCTGGTTAGCTTCAAAATACCCCACTTTGTAAACCTCAGTTGTTTTAAATGTTCTCTGTCTTAAAATCCTTTACATTGGCTAAATTAGACGCAGTGAAGTAGATGGTCAGGTGAAGGGACTCTGGGTCATGTTCTTTTCTTTCCTTCTTGTTATTTTTTATTTAATCATAGCTGTGCACATTAATGCAATCATGGGGGACAGTGTGCCCCATTTGAAATATTTTCACCAAACTGGTTAACACAGCTTTCATGGCACGTCATGTTCTTTTCACCACTGCTATTGTCCTAACAAAGCTGATGTGATTTTTAAGGCAGTTTTGGTGACAGAAATGTTCCAGTAAAATGTAATTAAGCCAGAATTGCGTTCATTTGGAATTGGCAGTGATCCCAGCTGGGGTTGTCATGTTTACTTCCCAGTCGTCAGCAGACAGAACAGGAACTTAAATGCTGTGAATGAGACACTGAGGTGAGCCAGTGTGCTTAGTTGAATTAGCACGGCCAGCTAAGTACAAACCATAAAAGCAGGAGTTTCAAGGGATTTTAAAGATCAGAGTATAAAATCAGCAATATCACACCCTCCTGTCTGGCCCAATACTGTGCGTAATTATATATGTGCTTGAGTGTAAGATGGCTGGATTTTATTGTTTAAAATATAATTCAGCCTTTTTCCCCATAAGTCTCGTGGGGGAGTTGAAGCCCTTAGGTGGGTGGTCTGTGCAGTGGCAGCATGTGAGGGTCATGCAGGGCCAGTACTCTGAAACTGCTGCCCACACATGTCTTCCTGTGGTGTGACCTCGGGATGCTGGGAGAGCCAGGCCAGGCTGGGCCGTGTCTTAGCCCCTCGGCCTTCCAGTGGACAGGGTGGCCCAGTGCCTTCTGGGGGCTCCCCCCGGGCACCCCGTCTCCAGTCGCTTGCGTGGTTCTTGGACTGTTCTTGACCGTGGATGTGTAACTGATGCAGTATTCCGCACTAGACTTTACTGTCAGCACAAATGTGAAATGTGGCCTGGAATTCATCTTCACATTGGACACTTGTAGCAAGCTACTGAACAGGTGGTAATGTCCATAATTCTTATCTTACATTTGGAAATCATTTGTATCATACCCCTACAAATCACATCTTCAGTGTTTTTCTTTTTAGAGCCCTGGGACTGCCATTCCTATGGGTTGTATTTTTGAACAATGTGAGAACTGTAAAAATGAGTTTTTATTAACATTAGAAAAGACATCACTTGGGAATCTGTTTATATGGTTCTTAGTAGCTGGCAGAGTGGCTTTTAATACTTTGTTTACATGCCTCTTTATTTTTTTTTGAGACAGACTTACTTTGTCACCCTGGGTAGAGTACCATGGCGTCGTGGCTCACAGCAACCTCAAATTCTTGAGTTCAAGCAATCCTCTTGCCTCAGCCTCCCAAGGAGCTGGGATCACAGGCATGAGCCACAGCGCCCGGCCTCATTTACGTGCCCTCTTAATAGAAGTTTGAAAACGTATATTCTTCCTTGCATATTTTTTTAAAAATTTTTTTGTTGTTGCCTTTTGGCTGGGGCTGGGTTTGAACTCACCACCCTCGGTACATGGGGATGACACCCCACTCACTGAGCCACAGGCGCCACCATATATATAT